AAAATTAGGTAGTTTGTCCTTATTTCTCGAACATAGAATAGGGGTGGTTTTGAAGAGACAACGTACTTCTGCTGCATAATAAGCTCTTTTAACTGCATTCTTCAAGCGCTGTGTTATGATCTCACTGATGTTATCACCGAGGAACTGCAATTTTATGAACATTGGCTTTTTCGAAACTGTAGCAATACTGACTCTCTTTGGTGCTGAATTCATATTCTTCTCAATAAATTTATCTGGATATCCATTTTTTCTAAGTAATTCTTTAATAAACGTAACTTGGTAAAGTGTTTGGTTCATAGAGCTAAGTTAATTTGTTCAGACGACTGCCTCAATGAGGAGCTTAAGATTATTAAAGAATTACTTAGAAAAAAGAATACGTCCATTGTAGATTTAATGAATGAACGAATTTCTTTTGTATGCAGAGTTCAGGTTTTAACAGATGAATTGCCATTGCTTCTGCGATGTGGAGAAGTTTGATCCATACACTTTTAGCAAGATTGCCTTGTATTCTGTAGATAACTTTGAAGTTTATTTGTGGTTTGACTTGGTGTCCAGAGTCGATCAAATGTTCAAGGATCGAGCTGTGGGGGCATCGGTTTTCTCCTTTATAAAACCATGAAGGTAAATGTTCGTTGACGCGTTTGGATAGCGAACGCTGAGTACGGCCGATATACCTGGCTCCACAGGAGCAGGTGAATTGGTAGATGCACATAGATGAGGCCAACAGCGGTAACTTATCCTTCGCGTTCATGCGAATCATTGGTTTCGCGGAGAACGTAAGTCGTAATTCAGCTGCAAAGAAGGTTTTCTTCAATGAGCGGGAGAGCCGATTTCTCAGTATTTCTGTAGATTGGTCTCCATTGAACTGTAGGTTCATATAGTTTTTTTGGAGCACTGGGTGCGGGCGGCTTCTCTGGTTTGGGTTTCGTTGATTTTGTGATAAATCTTTCTGGATAGCCATTTTCAAGGAGGATTTTCTTAAGAGTGTTCATTTCATCTTCTATGGCGTCCAGGCTGCAAATTCTACGTATTCTGTGGCTTAATGAACGGATTAGGTTTCGTTTAGTATATAGAGGCACCCAACTGTGGAAGTTATTGAGCTGTCCGTTTCACGTTGGCTTTCTGTAGATGGATGTTTTTAATGTTCCGTCTTGTTGGCGTCTCGTTAGTTGAACGTCAAGAAAAGATATCTTTGAGTTAGACTCTTTCTCTAGTGTGAACTGAATCGCAGGGTGTCAGTTGTCGAAGAACTTCAAGATATCTTCTAACTTCTCTTCGTTGTTGGAGATGATGAAGGTGTCGTCGACGTATCTCTTGTAGAGTTCAAAGTTGTCAATCATATTCTTTAGGCAAGTGTTTTCGAGTTTCGACATAAAGAAATCCGCAAGCAGAGGGCCTAGTGGTGAGCCCATAGCTATACCATCCTTTTGACGATATATTTCATTGTTAAAGGAGAACTGGACGTTTAGGGTGCATCTCAGCAGAAGTTCTTTTAGATAGTCGGTGGGTATGCCAATGTTTACTCCTTTTGAGTGGATGAGCTCGCATATGTGACAAATTGTTTCAGTTAGTGGAACATTTGTAAACAATGAGATAGCATCTAGTGAGATCATCGTTTGATTAGAAACATTGACGTTTTTGATGCAGTTGACGAATTCAAATGAATCTCGCACTAAGTGACGGGAGACTTGTTTTCTGATTGGTTCAAGTAAGTCTGCTAGCCATTGGGCAGTGCGGTGGTAAGGTGAATTAGTCATGTCGAGGATCAGTCGAAGTGGAGTACCCATCTTGTGTACTTTAGGAAGTCCGTAGAGTCTTGGTATATTTGAACCAGATGGTCTCAGGGATTCAAACATTTCGTTGGTAATGAATGATTCGTTCTTTAGTTTACGAAGGATGTCTGTTAGTTTTTGTTCAATCTGCTCCGTCATGTTTTTCTCGTTGGCCGGTTTGGTGAATTTAGATTCATCAGATAGAATGGTCAACATTTTACTGATATAATCCTTACGGTTCATGATTACGATTCCTCCACCTTTATCAGGATGTATTAGCATAATCTCTTCATTGTTCATCAATTCTTTCAGCTCTTTGTAGTGTTTCTTCGTTAGTACGGATCTTCCGTTTGGATTGCCATTTATAAATTTGTGGCAACAGTTGAGGACAGTTGATTTGAATTTTTGTAGGTTCTCATCAGACGTTGGTATCAAGTCATAGGTTTGATTTATGAGGTTTCCAAATTGAACCAGGCATTGAAGCTTGTGAACACTTCGTTGTTTTACGCAGAATTTCGGACCAAGAGATAACACCTCTAGTTGAGCTGTGGATAGTGTGATGTTTGAGAGTTTGAATACATACGTTTCTGGATTGCTTGGGAACGGACGTTCGATATTAACTGAAGGCTTTAGGCTCTTAAGGAGGTCAGATTTGATGTTGTCGCATTGTTTCTCTGTGACTTCTTTTACATATTCTTCGAAGAGTTGGTGTAGTTCTGGATCTAAGTCTTCGAATACATGAGCACGTGAGTAGACGTTTCGTTCTGGCTCAGGAATGCGTGATTGAATGGAGTCGATGTTCTTTAGCGTGTGTCGTCTCAGCGTTCTGGTGTTCGGATGAATGTGGTTGCGTCTGAGTGATTTCTAGTACATCTTTGGGTATTCATTTTGATCTGCACACTCTCTTAGGAAGTTCACCTTAGTCTTCGCTACTACAAGTTTGACGGAGTAACGTAGGAAACCATCCAGCTCCTTCACCGTCAGTGGGTCCTTGCAACGATTAAGTAACTTTAAAATCCGCATTCAGTCATATAAAAGAAAAGAAGGCGTTCAGTGAAGAGACTCTTTTCGGCGAATTACTTAAACGTTGCATTTTATTATTTCACATCTTCATTTGTATTATTCTCTACCCCACCCTTTTGTTAATCTCTACCCTCATTAACAATGTTGCTAACTCGACCCATCCAATTTCTAATCAACTATATTACGTCATCCGATTAACTTACTTAATTTTCAACTGTATTATTCTCTACCCCCACCCTTATTTAATTTTAACCACCACTCATTAACACTGTTGCCAACCTGACCTACTCTGAATTCTACTCAATTGTATTACGTCATCCAATTCACTTAATCAATTTTACTTTATTTTCTATCTGATTAACGTTTGTTTCCAAACCAAATAATACTTATATTACGTAATTATCCAAACTTTGTAAATCTAATGTACACACACACACACAAACAAAATAAGAGAGTGAACTTTTATATGACAAACAAAATTGTATATAAATGCGATTGTACAGCTCAGTGAATGAATTTGCCGAAAAGAGTCTCTTCGCTGAACGCCTTCATCTCTTTTTATTAAACAAGGTTGCTGCTGAATTAATAAGTGTTTGCATTTTTACTTTTTTGATAGGAAGCAGTACACTGTGTACAATTTGAAGTCCTTCACATCTTGACTTACCCTAGCTGATCTTCTCAACTCAGGATACTGTTCTTTTCCTTTTTCTGTTTTCTTTATTGTTACATGACTTTCCTATTCTAATGAGAAGCCAATTTCGCTAAGTAATTATGCCGGTGATTTGACTGTTTCTACACCGATGGTTACTTCTCAGTCAAACTGTTCCAAAATGAATAACTTATTAAAAATTAGTCAGTGGTCCTTGTCCAATGATCTTAGGCTAAATCCATCCAAACGTCAGGTCGTTAATTTCACTTTCAGATACAAGCGTGAATTAAGTGAACTGGTTAGTTCCCATGAATTTACTGTCATCATAAGTGATACTGAAGTTAAAACTAAGTCGAATGTTCATTATCCTGGATTGTGTATTTCCTCTGATCTATTCTGATCTTCCCACATCATGTTAGTTTGTATAAAGATATTCCGTTTGGCGTTCAACGTAAGGAAGTTAAGACAATCTGGTATCACTCAGTCTCTACTGTGACAGCTTGTTAATTCATGTATTCTGTTTATTCTTCTTTATTGCTCACCCCCTTATTCTGTTCTGGGCTACTTAAGAAAGACTTTGTTACTTTGCATATGGTACAAAAGGCAGTGAATAGGGTGAGTGTGTGTGGGGGGGGGGGTCGCTAAACCAACTCGTTAACGCTGTTGTAGATAGACACATGAACTCATGCAAGAAATTAGTGAATATTATCTTGTCAGATCCTGGTTTCATCTAATGAGTTAGGGGAACTAGAAACAACTATAGAATATTATATGCTCGGACGACTAAGTACAAATCCCTACAATACCTTATTTGGCAGGCACACAGTTTATGTGATTAGAAAAGTGTAAGGCGTGAAACACTGGCCCCCTTTTTCATTAATATGTTGTTGTTAATATTTTCATCAATGTAACTGCCCTGTTTTAATTACTACCCCTGTAATGAGAAAATTAGATGCCATATACTGTAGTACATTCTGGAAGTTCTATATTTGTACCGAAAGTACTACTTGGAATAAAGCTATTATTAATATCATTATTCGTTCCCTGCGTTCCCACTGGGAACATAAGGCTCCGTTAGCACATCTCCACTGTGCTCTGTCCTCTGCCATCATAATTATTTGGTTCCATGACTAATCAAAAGCTTTAATTTCCTGTTCATATGATTTTGTTCATGTTACTCTTGAACGCCCAAGTCCCTGCTTCCAATATGGGTTCCATTCAAGGTTCTGTTGAACTGTGATTTTACTCAGGTCTCCCCAGCATGATTCCGATCCATTTCCATCCTTACGAGATATAATAAATCATCTGTTAAATCCACTTCTACTTCTTCTTTCAGTCCAACTTGGGCCGTTTTTTCACTTCCTTACAGTCTACCGCATACTCCAGTTCACTACAATAAAGTTCATTGGTGATAGGAGGCAATATTGTCTTACTCCTGTCTCTGTATTTCTCAGTTAATTTGAGTCAACATATAATATTCGTATGCATTTCATCTGAATTTTGTTTTTTTATATGTAACAGTTACTCTGAGAATGTATTTTTGTCTATTGATATAGGTTATCGCCTTCCTTTCTGGTCTTTTCGTATCCAGTAAATCTAATTGTACAGCATTAATTGTCATGCCAGTCAGTGTTTTAGCTACCTGGGAGACAGAATTAAAAAGATGGGCACCAGCACTACGTGTTGTCATTTTTCACGACACCAGTCGATCTGATCGTCTTAAAAGCCTGGTATCAATTCAACGACACGGTGGTATCCTTTTGACAACTTATGGAATGCTTGTATCGAATATAAGAGATCTGTCGACAGATTTAAACGCAAATCCTGACTTTTTACGATCTAAAAAGCCTAGTAATAAGGATAACAAGAACAACAATGATGATGACAATGATGTGAATGATATTCTTGCTAGAACTGGTAAAGAATTTCACTGGACATATTTAATATTAGATGAAGGGCATAAAGTGAAAAATCCTTCATCGAAAACAACTAAAGCAGCTCAAGCAATCTATGCCAAACATTGTATTCTTTTAACTGGTACTGCTGTACAAAATAATCTCAAAGAATTATGGTCTCTTTTCAATGTTACACATCGTGGTCGATTGTTAGGGACTCAGAAAACATTTAGCATAGAATATGATAAACCAATATCTCGGGGAAGAGAAAAAGACGCCAGTAAAGCAGAAAAAGTGCACGGTCAATTAATGTCTGAAAGTTTACGCAAAATTATTGATCCATACTTTTTAAGACGTACAAAATCAGATGTTCTGTCAAAAAAGTATAATATGAATGCACTTGTACCAATGAAGAATGAAATGCCGCGTAAAACGGAAATTGTCTTATGGATATATTTGAGTACAATACAAGAGAATACATATCGTGACTTTTTACAACTGGATCATGTGAAAGAATTACTGATGAAGCGTACTACACGTTCACCGTTAATGGAATTAATTATCCTGAAGAAGGTATGTGATCATCCACGTCTTTTATCAACAGAACAATGCTTAAATCTGAATTTACATCATGATGATGATGATAATACTGTGGGTGGTCAAGACAGCCAACGAGATACTTATCCGATTGATAAACTGACCTCAGACAAGATACATTTTCCTCCAGCAGAACAACTGATTAAAGAATCTGGAAAATTTTTATTTCTACACTGTTTAATGAAACAATTTTTAAAAGAATTACAAATGAATCCACAAAGAGATTCACCAAGAACATTAATATTTTCACAAAGTTTAAAATTCCTTGATATGGCAGAAAAGGTTATCCTGGATATTCATTGTCCTGTGAATAGTAGTGGTCAGTCATCTAATCCTAGTGGAAATTTCCCTACAAGACATCGTGTTCTACGCTTGGATGGTCGTACTTCAAAAGTATGCGATCGTTTAAGCCTAATTAACAAATTTCAAAATGATAAGTCGTATACAGTTATGCTTTTAACTACGCAAGTAAGTATTGTGCGTTTTTTTTCAAAGTTTGACCAGGGATTGATATTATAGTTAAAGAACTACTATTGAAAACCATAGCAGGGAGTACTGGACAACTGTTTCGTCCTAGTTTGGAACTCATCGGTTGTACGTGCTCACCACCAGGGTTCAAACCCAGTGTGTTTTGTTTGTTTAGCATAAGCCTCATAATTTTGAATTCAATTTTGATTTTCCTGTTGATTGATTGGACAGAAATGCGCTGCTTCAGCTGACATATCAGCCTCCTAGTACGAATGCTTCGACGACGTCTGAGGAATAATATTTATTGTGACCAAATGGTCTAGTGGGTAACGCGAAAATAAAAATTCAATTAAAAACCATTCATAAATGATGCTCGTTGACTGACTGACTGGCTTCAACGTAGAACTTTGCACCGGTGTGCAGTAGTTCGAGTCGCCACACAAAGCAAGAGAAGAAAGTAAAAAGAAAATTCAAAATAGAGACAGTAAACAGAGGTGTGCGACAAAGGAATAGTAATAACGAAGAACACTATAGTTTTATTGGGTATTGTATAAGTCACAAGGAGTGGATGAATCTGCACCATTGAGAACGATTTTGAGTTATATCACCGATTGTCTCCAGCCGTTAGTGTTTACCGTTCCGAAGACCCCAACCAGCCAGTCAGGAAGTCTACACCTCCCTATGCGACTGACTTAAACTAACTGTTGTGGATTTCATTGACTGATGAAGCCATGTTTTGGTTTGACCACCATGTGCTAGCTCTTTTCGAACCTGGTCGGTGCTGTGTCAGCTAACATTGCCCGTCGAGGAAGGCGATGGCTAGGCATGCATGCGTAACACATATCCTGACCATCTCAATCGATGTAACTTCACAGACTCGTCGATTGATTTCGCCTCCTTAACTAGCACTCGACCGGAGCCTAACCTCAATATTGCTCACCCTATTTTACCATTTCACACGGGAGATAGAACATAGTCACCTATGATGAAAGACAGCCAGTCAGGCTTTTTATGTCTCTCACTCTCAATGGCCCGGTCTCACAGCCGTGAAGGAGGACGGAGCGGACTGCTGAGCAGTACACACGCCCTTTGGTCGATATCCGGATATCTACGCCAGAGACGGCGTAAACTGGCATATGCGAAACGAACCTTCTGTATCCGTGCTGAGATTTCGTCAGTGATCGACGCGTTGGTGCTGACACAACTTCCCTAATAAGTGAAGTGGTCAATGTGTTCTACCACTTCACTCCCTATTTCTAAACTAGGAGTTAGTGTATTCCAGTCCTGTAACATCATCTTACATTTTGCTGGAGCGAATCGCATGCCAAACATTCTCAGATCGAAGCTCAGGGTGTTGAAAAGACTCAACTGCATTTTATCAGAGTCTCCACCTAGAAGGATTACATCACCTGCATATTCTAAATCAACGAGATTATTCCCTGGTAACAAGTCAATCCCTGAGTCTCTGAAGTGAGTTAGGATTGATTCCAGTAGGAAATCTACGATGAAATTGAATAGAAACGGGGATAGTGGGCGTCCCTGTCGGGCACCAGTTCAGATGACAACTCGCCGTAAGCGTGTTGCATAAGAGGGGGCTCTTGTGACCCAAGTGGTCTGATGGATAATGCTTTAGTGTTTGAAAAGATAGGTACTGGATTTGAGTCTCAGTGAGAATACTATCACTCAGGAATGCAAGTGCATCCAGCTGACGAATCCTAAATTTAGGACAAAATGTCCATACTTTATTCCACTGCTAGTCACCATTTATTGAGATACGACTACTTTATTAACACTTTTACTGTGCATTTTTGATGAGCATTGTGCTCAGATTGATTTTCGAAGTCTAGTATGGATTGGTATAATTTTAGTCTTGTTTGATGGAAGCTGTTGTTGAGCAATTGAATGATGAGTTTTGAAGTACTTTCTGAAAATTTCACTTTCGGTAGGAGTAGTAATATTACAAGCGATTAATTCGATGAGGTGTGCATCTAACTGGTTATTTGAAGATTTTAACCAAACTTGTATGCTTGACTGTAGATACTTTAATGGCTTTACCAGTGATTGTGTGTGTAGTATCTGTAGTATCTGTGTACTTAACGACTATCTAGAATATGGTCAGTTAGGTGTATCCTGTTGCTAACATAATGATCAATATTGAGGTAAGAAGAGTAATGTCAATCGATCATATGGTGAAGCTACACCGACTGACATGAGTAGTATTCGTATTGTGCATTCCGAGCCATCGCCATCCTCGAGAAGCAATGTCAGCTGACATAAGATTAGGTTACAAAAAGGTTAAAGGTTGCCAAACCAAAAACTGGCGCCAGTCCATGGAATCTTTGACAGTTGGTTAGCGCCAACCATGTAGGAAGGTGGAGATTGCCTGGTTGGGGTCCTCAGGATGCTGGAGACTATTGATGATATGGCTCAAAATCGTTCTCAGTGTTCAATTATAGTTCTTTTGAGTTTTGTTTCTCTCTTTTGTCTACTGTTGTGTAACTCTGTATCGTAACATCGGATGTGGTCAGTGATCCGAAAGAGGTTGATTTGAATCACTGTGATCGAAGTCATTATTTTACTCGTATATTTCTGTCCTTCTGCTTCTCTTGTTTTATCTGCCTTTTTAATAAGTATACCAATGAGAGCGTGTACGTGCACTCATCTTTGCAGGTGAATTGATTTAAGTTGTTGAGAAGTTCTTGTGTAACAACAGAAGGCAAGACACGGAAGCCAAAGTATATTTTTCGTTGCTCAGACCTCTGTTTATATATCTATACAGTTTATATTCGTTAGCCAATCACTGAGCGTGTGATTTCGGTTTACATCAAACGACAAGAAATAGAATGTTCACATATACATAGCATTCTGTTGCCAACGCAGTATTGAACTATGGGAAAGTATTCTGTCTCTAACATCAAATAGAATGTTCTAATAGATATGTCGTATTCTGTTGTTAATGCCGAATTGATTTGTGGGAACATGTGAGAATAACATTCTGTTGGCACACATTGTCTATATCACACCACCGTATCTGCACCTGGGTAGCCGTGTTAGTGCTGACGGTGGTTTGACTGATGAAATCTCTAATCGTATAATAAAAGCTAGGATGTCATACTCTGATTAGGTTCACCTCCGGCACTGTCGCGATACCCTCTTGGCTGTGAAAGGTTGGGTTTACAATGGTTCGATGTGCGCAGTCTTGCTCTACACTTGTGAAACTTGGCATCTCTGAACTGGGGATGTGCAGCGGCTCTCTGCAATTGATCATCGCTTCCTCCATCGCTTGCGTCTGATGGAATCTTCGTCTGAGTAATTCTAAGGTCCCGCAGCGTGTGTTCAGATACGGTGGAAGGCCTCCAAAGCCTCAGGATGGTCGGGGGTGCGTGCCTTGCGCTGCGGGTTGGCCACCCCCCGCACACCTCTTGAAATGCTCCCATATGACCGGGCGTCTTACATAGCCTCTCCTGAGGAAGTCCTACTCACTGCCTTCACGTGGCGGAGGTGTTTTTCACCAAAGTGAGAGGGCGAAAGCGGATGCCCGGCGCTCTTCACTGGGTTGACTGTCCACTGGATGACAGTCTAGGGGAGATGGCTAAACCCTGATTCCAAACCTCCGACGACCGGCATATGAAGCTCACTGGAGCTCACCGGCAGACGTATGGACAAAGGGCTTGTTGGATGTCCTGGATGTCTGGCCCCATTCAAAAAGGCGTATGAACCGGACTCCGGTCACCGGCTGCCAATGGATAGTGGACTCCCTACTCCACTCCTACTGCCTTGTAGGTCACACTTGGTTGTGTAAAGGCTAGAGCTGCACTCTTAAACAAAAGGCCGAGCGATTCTGGGGACATCACTCGTACCAAATTCCCATGAAACTTCATGAACTCTCTTACAAACTGTCGCAAAACCTTGCATCAGATCTCCGCGCCTGGGCAGCGATGATTCGAGATGTTCATGAAGCCGGCTCATCCTCCCGTAGGAGATAGCCGAAGTAAAGTAAAGTAAGTAAGAAGGCACTAGTCATTGGGTGTAGCCGTCTTGAAGCCGCCCAGCTTCAGTGGCTTGGACATGTGCTACGAATTTCATCTCCGAGGCTCCTGTTCCTGTCTCTGTTCGCTAGCTGTGGGTCTAGGTGGAAAGGTGGTCAGCTCATGACGCGGCACCGTTGGATGAAGAACATTTGTGTTAGGTTAGCGTCAACTGGCACATTACGACTACCTTGCTGGGGTTCGAAAGATAGTTAAAATCAGAGACTCGGAATGTAATCAAATATCGCAAAAAATTGCAATCACTGGCGAACATGTTACAGTTTCCTTCTTTCCTCCCGTTCTGAAATAGTGAATGTTCAGTGATCTTGACAAGTGTGCTTGCTTTCTTGCTGATGTCCCTCATTCATTCTGTCCTTATTCTCTTTATAAACTGTTATTTTGTCATTTTTGTGTAGCGCACCTCTTAGTGCCTATAATGTACCAAGTTTATGTAGCTTGGTTTGTAAGGGTTAGTTATTTTTACGAGTTGATCACGGATTGATATCAGTTAGAGAACTATTAAAAACCAGGGAGTACTGGACAGCAGTTTCATCCTAGTTTGGGAACCATCGGCAGTACGCACCCACTGAGATTCGAACCCAGGACCTTCCGGTTACAAGGCGAGCTCGTATACCATTCAGCCATTGGGACCCGATTCAATGGCTCACGAATTCTCACTTCCACCAATTCGTGATTTAGCGCGACCCCAACCATTGTCATTGGTGGGACATCCATCCACACACGTGACCTCTAATTATACCTCACTGGTCATGACTTCTCACTAGAACTCCAGGGAACTCCATCCTGTAGCAAGTCACTAGCAAGCATCAGATTAATTTTCTATAGTTTTGTTTGTAACGGTTAGTTATGTTTTTACGAGTTGATCACGGATTGATATCAGTTAGAGAACCATTGAAAACCAAGTTTGCGTTTTATACTAAGTAAGTAATAACCAACCGGAACTGCCACAGTTGTGTGCAAGATCCTATACTAATGTGTTCAATTTCATGTGAATATTTGTTATTTTTGATGGGTCTATCTACATCATTTCATCATTAATTAAGTGCGTCGGTGGCACAGCGGTTAGGACGCTCGCCGACCATGCACATGGTCTGAGGTTCGATCCCCCGCCGACTCACAGCTGATATCTATGGTCGACCTGCTAAATTTGGCCTACCGATATCACATGCTGAAAATTCCATACTTGTACCAAATTACTGTATGGAATCAAGCTATAATAAAATAAAAAAAGTCTTGCAGCTTCTTCTTAGAAATTGACTTAAAAGTCTGAGGTGACATTTTAGGATTTTAATGCCTAAGGCGTCCCCGTAATAACTTATTGCTATATTCCTATTTGAATTGTGTCTTTAGTGTTTTTTGTATTTTCAACTTATTTAAAAATAATTTGCAGTGTGTTACATTGTTTTCTTTTTTTTTAGGTTGGTGGTGTTGGACTAACAATCACCTCAGCTAATCGTGTCATTATTCTTGATCCAAGCTGGAATCCAGCTGTAGATGCACAGGCTGTAGATCGTGCCTACAGAATAGGTCAAAAGTTCGATGTAGTTGTCTATCGATTGATCACATGTGCTACTGTCGAAGAAAAGATATATCGTCGTCAAATATTCAAAGATTCTGTAATACGTCAGACAACTGCACCGGGTCAAAATAAAACCGATCTAGACCCGTATCGATATTTCAGCCGGCAAGAATTGTTTGAGCTATTCAGTCTAGGCGATACACGTGTATCAGAGACAAAAAAACAACTCGATATGCTGCATGATGGTTCAGACAAATGGTCGGATGCTTCAATTAGTCCACACTTGCATTTTCTGTGTGGCGATGCAATGAAGCATGCTGTATATGGAATATCATTTCATGATTTAATGTTTAGTAAAGAGTCAGTGAATGAAGGCAGTGTTGATACCACAGATCATGAAAATGTGTATATCATGAATCGTCGTGTTGCTGCTGAACGTGCTTTAGCTGTGGAATGCGGTGTCGAAGGTAAAGCATTCACTAGAGAAGTGTCAACAACAGACGTGAGGAATGATAATAATAATAATGTGAATTCTCTGCCGACACAATTAGCCAATATGAATATACACAACAACAATAGATTTCCACCATACGCCTATAACAATAGTAATAATAATAACAATAATAATAATACTGAAAATCGTTTTATGAATCCAGTTTTACCGAATCAACAATTGTTGTTGTTTAAACCTTCCAAAGATGATACTCAAAGGCATATGTTCAATCGACCACCAACTAAACAAGTGGATAATGGAAATACATTAACAATGAGTAGACCACAGATGATCGTTTCTTCAAATGACAACAATTCAGCGCCTATTTCAAATAACCCTGAACGGTCAAATGAATACACCAACCAGATTTCAAATGTTGTAACGTTAACAGATAATACTACTACTAATAATGTTGAACACCGTCCAATAAATGATGAACATGGAGTAGGCAAATCTATTTCTCCGAAGTTAAAGAATCAGTTGCCAAGTTCATCTAAAGTTCCAGTTGACGGTGAATATCTTGAAATTGGAAGTTCTTCTTCCAGTGAAGATAATACTACTAATAACAATATATCGATGGTTGATAAACAATCCGTTGTCAGTCCAGTTTCTATTAAAAATCGTGTTGTGGATTATATAACTATAGAAGATTCTATAGCTGAAAGTTTACGTGAAATGAGTATAGCTCAGACAACACCATTACGATCGAATAATGCAAATGATAGTAAAGAATCAGATATACCGAAAACTCCACTGCATGAAAATCGTGCTCCACTCAATCCAAGATTATCTTTTTTACCTATGGATGGGAACTTTTATCGGTCTACACCAATATCTACGAAAAAATCGGCCAATGAGCGAAACTCTAATAACAATAGTAACAACGATAACAATAATCACGTTGGCGGCAGCGATAAGTCGCCGTCACGCGTATCACCGGTTAACAATGACGATCCAGATCAAGATTACATACATATGGACATAAGTGTGAATATGAATGACAACGATTTAGCGAATACAGTTGATATGAAATCGATCCAACAGGTTGGTAACTAACTTTTTCTCATTGCTATTATTATTATTCCCTTTGGCTTCAACAGTACACCTTCGTTTTGTCCTCTTCAGCTGTTTATTTTTCACAATTGCCTATAAGCTCTCATCTCCTCCTTACACAGTCTCTTCTCTATCACAATTTGATGCCCAACCCACCGTTTCCCCCTTTTTATGGTTCCACTGGAGCGATGTCCTGCAGCGCAGTATCACTCAATGGTCTCCTCAGTGTCTTCTCCTCCATCTCCATTGTTTTCGGAATACTTGTTGACCAATAGCTTCTCGATTAGTTCTTTGTAACTAATCCTTTCTGGCCATCTGATCTTCAGAATAGGACCAGTGAATTCGGCTGTTGATGAAAGTCTGCTGTGGTGGTCTGTTGGAATTGCTTTTCATGACGCCTGGCGCCAAGTTTCTGACCCATATATAGAAAATCTGAATCCTATGCTCTTTATGCTAAGTGCGGGTGATTTCCAAAACTGATTTCAGCGTTATGAAGTTCAACTTTGCCATCCCACTCTTGTCTGTGACATTGTCATCTGCACTACCTGTAATTAAAACGATGCTTCCTATATAAGTCCATTGATTGTGATTGGTGCTTGTCATCGTTGTTGTTGATTAGTTATCTTCATCACCTCTGTTTTCTCTCTATGTTCACTTAAAGTTCTGTCTTTGCTGCCTTCCTCTTCTGCCAGCTTGTTGGTTTTCAAGAGTTTGTCTGTAGGGATTTGAATTGTTTCAAATTTGATCATGCACTGATATCGGTTAGAGAACCATTGAAAACTAGCAAGAAGTTACTCGTCCTAGTCTGGGACTCATTGGCAGTACACGCTCGCCGGGTTTCGCACCTTCCGGTTATTGTTTATAATCATATCATCAGTTTGTTACTCTACACAACTTCGAAACTTTATTTCTATATTTCTCACTCTTCCTTTCCATTTGTTGTAAGAGTAGTAGACTTTTATAGATGTCCGTAACAGATATTGAATCATTACTATTGCACTTATTCTCAGTTGATTCGATGATTACTACAGCTTCAGTGACGTGTGGCAGCTCAAAATGCTGCACATCAGTGCAAAGTTCTGCGTTGCAACCAGTCAGTCACAGCTTCAGTTATCAATATCTCCCTCCATTCTGTTGTATTCAATTTTAAGACTATCACTTTATTCTCTCCTGTTGCATAGTTTGTGTTTGATTGCATGTAGAGTTATCATAGCGGAGCTTTTCCATTCTAGATTTCTTATCTCATAAGAGTCTACTAGTCTAGATTTAGCCAGGTTTTATATTTTGCTAATCTGATTGACTTTGACGTATATAATGTATGTGACTTGACAATTATCGCAGGGTATTTAGATAAACTGAATGATGTCTTTAAATGGGCTCCACAGAATCGCTCTTTTGATTCGTTTTATTTAAACTGATTGAAAGAGACTGGTTGTACTGTTGATATGTTACACCATAGAAGTCTTACTAGACACAGTATGCCCAACTACCCGCCTAATCAATACACTGCCCAACTAACTTGCAAGCACTTATAACAAAACATGAATCACAAGTGACTCGGTTATTTCGAAATATGCTCTGACGAGGAATATTTCCATAGAATATTTGCTTTTGGTGGTGGTGGGTTAGTGGGAAGGTTGTAGGGACTTATCTAATTAGTATGGGTCGAACTGCGAACTCTCTTGATTATACGTGCGTGTTACCAACACATAGGGCGTAGGAAAATGGCGTCCGAGCCTGGTCAGATGCATACCGGTTAGAATAAAACTGCATGGAACATAAGAATTCAACAGTGCATCTCCATTTCGTCGTATTCTCTGCAGTCCTCTTCAGTTTGCCCCACTATTGCTCATAAGCATTCATCTCCTCTATATCACCCTCGGACACACACCCAACTCGTCGTTTCCCACTTGGGTCCCATTGATGAGACGGGCACGCTATGTCTCACCCAACGGTCTCCTCAGCGTGTGTCCAGTCCATTTCTTATTTCAGAATGTTTGTTGAGCAGTAGGTTCTAAATAGGTTCGTTTCTAGAGATTCTTGTTGCCAATTCTTTGTGACTATCGGACAGTGAATATGGAGCAAAAGCGACTGTTGATAAAAGTGGGAAACTCGTAAGAAATGTTTTTCATAACATGCTGAGTTTCTAACCCACATAGAAGAACACTTGTTGGAAATTAGAAGCTCGTTCTTTTCGCTGAATGTGGAAGGTTTCCAGGGTGATGAAGGTCTACGTTGCCTCTCCGATTCTGGTTTTGACATCCTTATCTGTGGCGCTCTCTGTAGTTAAATAGATGGTAGCTGATGAGATAAGTGAGGGAATTGTAATACTAAATTGAACACCAATATTACAAAGTAAATGATTAGGAGTGACAATGAATGTACAGTAATAAATCCTCATGAGTCATGTTCCTATCAAGTTCCGTTTATATTGATTATAAACTTCAGGTGGATGAGTGATCATGTCAAGGACAGGGTTGAGAAAAAGGGTTTTATGAGGGTTGAAATTTATATGCGGTGTGTGTGCGTGTCAGTGTGTGGGTTAACTTCTACGTTTAAATAAGAAAACAAAAAGTTAGTTAATGAAAGTGTAATGACAAGGGGTAGGGGAATTTATGTACTGGATGGAAGGCCATAACAAAAGGGAACGATGTAATAAGGTATTTATGATGTATTGATGTACTTATTTTAGGGATTTTGTTTGATTGGATGGAGAATTTCATCATAAGTTGACATCAGTTAGAGAACCACTGGAAAACCTACCTGTGAGTACTGGACAGCTGTTTCGTCCTAGTTTGGGACTCTTCATCTATACCCAGTACTTATTTTAGCCCTCTGTGTTTACTTAGAGGGTGTACACTGCACTTCTCTTATAACTCATATTAATTGATTGTCATGTTGTTTGGATGTAGTAACATCAGTGGAAAATTTCACCTTGTCATAAATAATTATTTAATTTCAATGGTGTTGTTTTATTATCTCTGTAGGTTCTTGCTAGATCTGGTGTACTCAATGCCACCAATGTGGTTGAATCAGATGCTGTAGACAGATCCGTGTCTGATTCTGAAGAACGGGTCTTTGCCCTTCCAAATAATATTTCAAGCAAAAGGAAGCCTAATCATTCTACTCCAGCAAGAAATAATTCCAAAGAAATTGTAATGGATTCTTATGCTAGTGGTGCGTCGTTGGAAGATGATAATGATGGTGACGGTGGTGATGATGATGTAGAATATTCTTCTGAAGACATTATCGAAGAAAGTGATATCGTTGAAGCTAGTTATTGAAAAGGAGATTTCAAAATATTCAATATTGAAACGTGTATATATAATTCTCGAGTTTCTTTTACTGTCGTTTGTTATTTATCCTTATATTAAATTATTTTTTGCAAATATATCAACTGTATTATTATTATTCCCTTGGGTTCCTAGTGGAACATAGGGCTTCAACTGCACGCCTCCACTTGCTTCTGTCTTGTGCTGTACTTTTCACTTGCATCCATGTTAATCCATACTGTTTCAGTTCCTCATCACACGATCTCCTCCATGTCACCCTTGCACTGACGTCCCACTCGCCGCTTCCCTTTCGGGTCCCACTCGAGGGCCTTACGCGCGATGTCACCCAGTGGCCTCCTCAGCGAGTGTCCAATCCATCTCCATTTTCTCCTGCATATTTGTTGGGCGATTGGTTCCTGTTTTGTTTGTTCCCACAGCTTCTTGTTTGTGATTCTTTCCGGCTATCTAATCTTCAGTATAGAGCAGAGACAGTTGTTGATAAAGGTCTGCAACAGGCTGTTGGAAATATTCTTTGTGACCCGCCAAGTTTCTGATCCTTACATATAGAAGAACTGACTTGACGTTTGTATTGAAATTCCGAATTTTGTTGTTGATGCTGAGTGATGAAGATTTCCAGATTGGTTTCAGGTTGAATGTGTTTCTCGCCTTCCCGATTCTCGATTTGACATCCTCGTTCGTCCCCCCTGTAGTTGAGACAATGCTCCCTAGATAAGTGAATGAAGTAACCTCTTTCAAATCCTTCCCGTTGATGGTGATTGGCGCTGGATGTTGCTGCTGTTGTTGGTTGGTTATTTTCATAACCTCCGTCTTGTCTATGTTCACGTGGAGTCCTATCTTTGCTGCTTCTTCGACCAGTTTGTCGGTTTTCGCTTGTAAGTCTTCGATTTTGTGTAACATCAAACATAAATCATCCACACGCGAAATCCAGGTCTTCTAGGTTCTTCACGTCGGTCGGTCCAGGATATCCCTGTCTTCTCGTTTCCCACTGTCTGACGCATAATCCAGTCCAGTCCACCACAATTAGGAATATCACTGGTGATAATAGACTAGCACCCTTGTCTGACTCCTGTGTTTACTCCAAACGCCTCGCTGAGTTTTCCGTTGTGGATCACTTGACATGTGCCGTTGTCGTACAGTTGTTGAATAAGGTTGATGAATATTTGGGGTACGCCGTAGTACTCGAGTAGTTTCCAAATTATTTCGCGGTCAACGCTGTCGAAGGCCTTCTCAAAGTCTATAAAGTTGAGGTAGAGGTTTGATTGCCATTCCATGCTTTGTTCGATGATAATGCGTAGAGTTGCAATTTGGTCAGAACATGATTTGCCTTTCCTGAATCCAGCTTGTTCTGGTCGGAGTTCTGTGTCCAGTGCGTCCTTGATTCTCTCCAGGATGATGCGACTCAGAATTTTACTTGGCGTCGACAGGAGCATGATTCCTCGCCAGTTCTTGCAGAGTTATAAGTCGCCCTTCTTTGGTAGTTTCACGAGGTAACCTTTCCTCCAGTCAGTAGGCACCTTTCCCTCCTTCCAGTCCTTCTGCAATAATGGAGTCAGCATATCTGCTGTCGTTTCTGGGTCCGCTTTCAGTGCTTCCGGGGGTATTCCATCTGGTCCAGTTGCTTTTCCAGCTTTAAGAAGCTTGATTGCATTCAAGACTTCAGCTTTTGTTGGAGGATTGGTGTCAACTTGCAGTTGTGTACGTGCTGTTGTTGGTATTTCTGGACGGGTCGCAGGTGGTGGTCGGTTCAAGAGTCCTTTGAAGTGGTCCACCCATTGTTTAATCTGTCTTTCTTCTTTGGTAATTGGGTTCCCTTGGCTGTCTTTTATAGGTTTCACTTGTGTTGATCTCTTCCCGGATAGAGACTTGGTTATCTGATATAGTGTCCTCAGGTCCCTTTTACCTGCTGCCTTCTCAGCTTCAGTAGCCAGGTTGTCGTAGAATTGTCTTTTGTCCTTCCTGGCACTCTTCTTCACTTCTTTGTCCAGTGCTGTGTAAGTTGAGCTCAACGTCTCTTTCTCTTGTCCATCTTTGCATTGAATCAACTAGATTACGAATATATTTGTTCAAGTGAATTCAAGTTTTTCCGTTGATTGATAGATTGATTGGATCGGAACATGCGACTTCTGTTGACTGACATATCAAGCTCTTAGTATGAATACTTCGACGGTGTTTTAGGATTAACATAAAGGTGGCGGTGGTGGTGGTGGATGGTGACTATTAGTAGAATCCAGGATGTCCACTTCATCCCGTTTAGATCTCGTCATCCGGATATATCTGCAATCCCCAGTGAATGATATTGTTCCCACTGAGACTTCAACCCAGTACCCATCGTTTCAAATGTCTAGGCGTTTTCAATCAGACCACTTGCGCCACAAGAACCATCTCTTGTGCAGCAGGAATCAATTCGGTAATTGCCTAAGTCAATTTTGATTCTCCCGTTGACTGATTAAACCGAGATGTTCGGCCTCTGTTGACATGTTCGCTCCCAGTACGGACGTGGCAGCCATTAATTACCACAAGGACTAGAAAAACACTAAATAATAATAATAATAATCTACTTTATTCCAAAAACAGTACTTATAATACAGAATGGAATTCTCAGCATTTGTCACAATATCGTATCTGATTTACTCAAAATATATATAAAATTAAAAATTAAAACAAAATTAACCAGAGGAGCTTGTCCACATTTACGATATAAAGTCAAAAATATTCGAAGCAAGAATTGAGAATATAATAATAATAATAGTATTATCGACTCAGTTTGGAAATTTTAGCATGTTATAGATTATTGAATCTAATATTCTGTTGATATAGTCTAGTGAGGGGAAAGGCAAAATTAACAGTTATAACACGGTTTAAATGATGTTCACACTCAGGGAAAAATCAACAAATAAAAACAAAAAATTGAAAGGATTATAAATATAAGAAGTACAATAACAATAAAGGTTGATGTTGTAAGGGTGAAGGAAATAGTTTATTTAGTAGTGCAAAGAAGGTTAGTTAGTTCATGCTTAACACTATTTTCAACACAAATTACGTGCTGACAAACATGGTATAGTGGAATTTTTATACTTAGACGTATGTGCATAAAGTCTTCTGAAAAGACTTCTTGTTTTACCTGAGGAGACACAAGGTTGTAGCTGCGGGTAAAGTGGATGTTCACAGTCTGACAAAATTCCTGTAGAAAATTTGTTGCATGACATCAAGTGCCTACCAGTGACAATGTCAACGATATGGCCCAAATGGGAAACCACTCGCCCTACTGACCGACAGTCTTCAGAGTTCTACGAAGTATGACATAGTCTTTTTCTAGCAATCCAGGAAAGAATAAAGGTGAACAGTAAAGAGGAATAGTTAAGATGCACTAGTTGACTAACTGTGAGAAGAGGAGGGGTTGGGTTACACCTGAGTGCCTTAACTTCTTAATGTAAAAAGTCAAACGAAATATTCTTTTAGAAATCGCCAAGACATGGAAAGACCAGGATAGGTCAGAAGAAAGAATTAATCCAAGATACTGAACTTCAGACTTGATTTCCATATCAGTATCGTCGATTTTGCAAGGGTCATAATAACCAACAGCTTCATTTAACTTTCTTTTACATCGGAAACTGAAATTAATAGTTTGACATTTAGAAGGATTTAGTTTAAGGTCATTAGACAAAGACCATTTGCTAAATCCTGATAAATATAGTCTCTGGAAACTACTCTGCCAACTTCTATTTGGAGTCAGTCTTTAATGTGACGTATATCGGTCAATTAACTTGGGGTAGAAATGGGAAGACAACTGCATGTGTAGAATTGAGTTACAAATATACATCAGATTCTTAAATCATGTTTTTGGTTGATGAAGCTAGGTGGTTAGCAAATATCTTTGTGCAGGAGATTCATTACTTTCGTAGTCTCTCATTCTTGAGTGGTAACATGACACACCAAATTTTTGAATTTTCTTTCTGTGCCGTATTAGGTGTAGTAATTTGCCTTGACTCAGTTTCAAGGTAGAACTCTGCACACAAAGAAGTGCACCACTTTAGGTTGACACACTCCATGTAGTACACAAAAGTAGATAGAAAAGAGAAAAATGATTCAAAAAGACTATAACAAGCAGAAATGTGAAGGGGAAACAATAGTAACATGGGAAGTGAGTCACTGAGAACAATTCTGGGCCATACCAGCAGTTGTCTCCATCCAACGAGGTAGCCTACACCTGTCTACGTGATTGGCTTATACCAGCTGTTTTTAAAGATTTCATGAACTGATGACATGTTTTGGTTTGACCACCAGTAGCCTTTTTTTTCAACTGACATTCACCATCGTGCAAGTTGATGGCTAGACTCGCTCACCAACTGGCTATCCCTCCTTACCTAACAAAAATATTACCCGCTCTATTGTGCCACGTAACACAGGAGATAGGACTTAGAAACCTGTGATCAAAGACAAGTAACCTCTTCATGTCTTCCATTTTTGTCATATCCATAAAGGAGCAGTACACGCGTCATTCGATGGACAGCTGGATATCATGTTTACGCTGGAGATGATATAGGTTGGTAAATGGAGTTTGCTTCAAGTAGATACTGACTATCTGCAGACATGTATTACTTCATTTTAGTTGACGGATATCAGGTAATTGAATTAGTTGAGTTCTCTGAGTTGGTTGATTTAGTTGCGAATCTTTCGTCGTCCACCTTCTAGACAACATCTTCAGCGAAGGTATGAACTTATTTGAATTCTCCGTGAATGTTGTAATTATATCTCCTGACAACAACCATTGTCGTGATTGGTTGTTGATTTACGTCTCTGCTGTTCATTTTCATTCACTTGGAATTCGAACTTTCTTGTCGTGTGATGGTTTACTTTTTATTAGCTGGTAAATTTGGTTTATAATAATAATGTGTTTGTTAATTGCTGACTGATTTACTTGAGTACCAGGCTTCTTAGAGTTCCCTAGCATCACTTTCGGTGTTTCCTCTGTTTACAATTTCTACATTATTCCACTCGTCAAGTTGGTGTCCACAATTATCTGCATGTATTGATAATAAAGAATATATATCGTGTATTTTGACAGCCAATTTGTGTTCTTTTATTCTGATTCGAAGGGGACGCC